AAAAAAACGCTAAAATGGTGCTAACATCACTGTGCTCAAATCAAAACGGGGATGGCCACCCCTTTCGGTGGCCATTTGTTGGCAAAACAAGTTTAGGCTGAAATCCACGGAGGTATGGACCATATGCCCCTTTCAGACCTCAAAGTTATCTACAGAGCACAGGACCACTCAAGCAGGAAATAAACGAATATATTTTTCTAAAAGTCGGCGACCAAACGTTAACGTACAGGGCTCATCATAACCGATTATGCGAACGTGATATGTGTCTTGATGCGTGATTTGTGCTAGCGTCAAATCGTTGACATGTGTAAGTGATGCATAACGCATGATGCATGATGCGCGATGCCTGTTTAGTTGAAATCGCTTGCATGTGCAACTGATTTGTGATGTGTGATGCTGTTTACCTCAGCCCGCTTGCACGTCTGAATGAAGATTGAAGCATGATGCCTGTTAAATTGAACTCGTTTGCCTGTACGGATTTTTGCGCATTGTAATTCCTAGTTAGATATGCACTGCATCGTAATAGTGGCTGGCAAGTTCTCCCTGTTCAATCCCCTGAATGTTGGTGTCCTATAAAAGCTGTGGCTCGCTTTTTTTGAAAAAAAACTGAAAAATTGAGTAGGATCATCGGCAGACAAATTTGAAATTATTTCTGCCATTTGTTTTGATAAAGGCATATTGCCGAAATATAAACGCATCTATATCTCCATTCTCCTGGTTTTTCTCCGAGGAATAAGACTTTTACTACTGTCTTATCTATTATGTATGTATTCATTAATTTGCAGTGGGCTCTTCCCGCACTGAAGAAGCACTTGTTAAACGTGTAAAAGGCTGTCAGCAATAACGTGGGTTGGCTGTGTTGAATGAGGCTCCATTCGACGTGGGGGAATAATTTCCCCAGCAACGAGCTCCATCAGACATTCTGGTAAGAAAGTCAGGGCTTGTATCTAGAAACCCCCCCAAAGACTGTCTCAGCCCACTTTAGCGTGATAGAAGAAATCTACGAGCGCGGCAAGGCCTCCTAGGTGTAACAGCTTTTCCCCGGACTGACTAGTGCCCTGCCCTTTCCGTTAAAGGGGAGCTACACGTGTGCTGGAGATGTTATATCTACAGGACGTTGGCATTGGGGACATTTAGAGTCATCCACAGTAAGGACGCGACGTT